GGAAGAGATAATGCAATAGGACATTTAAGAGCCTGTATGAGAGGAAGGACTTTAGAATGGTTCGATGATGAGATTACTACAAAGCAGAATTGGGAGCTAACTAACTTACTCGATAATACAGGGCAGGCTAACTTAGTTGCAGTAAATGGGCGAACTGCAGTACAGATAGGAGCTAATGCATTAAATGAGGCTGTTGGCCAACCAGGAAATGCAATAGTCAAGTTAAAAGCTGTAGAAGATGCTTGGAATGAAGACTGGCGTATAGCAGGTGGCTGTCCTACTAATGCTCCTGTAAATGCACCAAATGCTAATGCTGGAAATACAGTAGTTGTAGCTGGTATTAGATTTGGTCAAGCCGTATGGTGGCTAAAAACTCATTTCCCTATAGTAGAAGAGGAACTTCGGGATTTGATGTATGGAACAATCAGAAAGAGAGACATGACTATAGATGAATTATATAGAAAAATATTACGAATAGGTAGACGAGCCAACTATAGACCTGAAGAATTACGTAGAAAGTTCTTAAATGCGCTTCCACTCCCATGGCTTGAAAAAGCTGAGGATATTGGTGAACATTTGCCATTGGATGAATTAGCTAAAAAGCTTTATGAGATAGAGTTACGCCGAATAGCAAGACATAAAAGAGATAGATTACCTGACCCTCTAGTATCTAATCGAGCATCTCAAGAAATATATGAACCTTCTCTTGTTTCAGCCTCGCAATAGCAAGGAATTTCTTTAGAAGATATGCAAAAAGCAATTCAAAATGCATTGGCACAACAAAAAACTGAAAACCAGGCATTAGTAAAGAAAGTTACAGAATTACAATCACAAATGACTCAGCAAACACAAGTACCTGCTTCACAAACTGTTGAACCGGTTAGACAGCCGAAAGGTCCACCATCTTCATTACAGACTGAAGAAGGTCTCAAGAATTATTATGTATCAGAATACTTAATTGCTGATCCGCATGTGATCGATAGAATTTATATAATAAAATGCGGCGCAACATTTATATATAAGCCATGTCGATCATGTTTTTATATCAAATAAAATTCAACCATATTGTTATACAATTGCGTAATTTAACACCTGCAATATACATTTAAGATCTTAGAAAAAAAAAATTTTTTTATAAAAAGTTTTTTTTCTTTGCAGTTTATAAAGTTTTATATGTAGGAAATAGATATTTCATAGTATTTACTACTATTTTACTTCTATGGTATAAACTCTTTAACTTTTCTTTGACGCTTATAAAACTTTTTTTGATTATTATTTCTGTCAACTATTACATTTTTAATAACACTACGCACTTTTATATCTCTTTTTCTTTCACAAATATGTCCAGTTTGTAAAAAATATGAATATAATAAAATATATGAATAATAAAAGGACTTTTATTAAGTTTTAGCATAATTTCAAAATAGGAATAGTTATCTTGAATTTTTTTCTTAAAAAATAACAAACAAGTCATATAAATATGGACATAATAATGAAGTTCTGATATAATAGCGCCAGTTGCAACAAGTTTTTTAAGAGTTATTTATGTATTTGACGTTGTTGTTTCTTGGGAAAACAGAGATTTCAAACGGCATTTTTTTTATTAATTAACATAATGCCGCATTTTACTATGTAAATTCTATCGATCACATGCAGATCGGCAATTAAAAGAAATAGGTGTACTTAATAAGGCTGAACTAGATGCAGATTATCCTGTAAAACCTTTTCAAAGACCTCGTCAACAACGAAACAATAACTCTGCTAGAATTGATAGAATGGAGGAAAGGCTTAATGAAACTCGTGATGCTGTAAGTGAAACTCGGGATTCTATAAATCAATTAAGCAACCAATTCCAGAAACTAAATATACATAAACCGGTAGCTCGGTCTAATTTTAATAGGAGTTATTTTAAGCCTATTACACCTATAAATTTCCAACACACACCTCCTACTTCAGATAATGAGGGGGATGGTTATGATGAGGACAATAATAGATGGACTGGATATGACCCACCGGTAAAAAAAAAACAGGTAAATGAGCCAAGAAGCGCTTCGTATAAGTTGGCTGGTGATACTAATGCAATCTCACCCTCAGAATCTAGCCAACCCGAAACATATGATGAGCTGTTGCCAAAACTTTCACCGGCAATGCGCAAAATGTGTCTATCTCGAAAGGCTCAGAAGGAAAAGTCAAAAAAAGATGAGTGGTTTTCGTTATTACAATATCTGAATGCTAGTATAAATGATTTACCAATCTCTGAATCTTTTTTAGATAACGGAAGTGAATTTGATGGATTTAATTTAGCTACTGCTGAAGAACTTGGATGGAAAGTTGATAAGCCTTCCAAATTTGCTGTAAAAGGTAATTCTGAACATATTTCTAAAGCACTGGGATGGTATACGAATGTAGCAGTCACTCTAAAAGACATGAAAGGGAATCTGATTATCACTATTGTTGGAAATTATGCTTGTGTTGACAATGGTGAGCCTAAGCCAATGCTATGGTTAGGAACGACAGGAATTCGAAAAGTCAAAGGTATTTCCAATCTAACTAAAAATCAGTTCTGCATAGAGGATCATGGAAAAACTTATATTATCCCAACCTTTAGCAAGGCTCCGGTAGTCAAGGATCCGCCAAAAGAAAATCAGGAATCAGCTAATTCTTCTAATCCGACTAGTGAGGAAGATTTAAAAAAAAGTGTAAAGAACTTGAAAAGTGCCTCATAAAGACTGAAGAAATGCTCTATTTGGCCTTAAGTACTGGTAAATTTCTTGCTGATACATGTGAATCCTTATATAAGGAGGGTATTAGCTGTTAAACCCTTAAGCTTTTCACCACGATTAATTAGATTTTTAAAAAGAGATTCTGCCCTGTCTTCTCGGGATGTATCAAACGAATTATCAGAGGAAGAGACCATGCCATTTTTGTTATTTTTTTTCACTATACTAGTTGCCTCAGTAACCGGCTTCTCATTTATTTTAACCTTCTTTTTTAGACCATTCTTTTTTGGAATATCTGTAGCCAGAAGGGATATAGATGATACTGCTTCAAGAGTCTGTTCTGACTTATCAGATTGGGAATTTTTATCCAAAGCAAGCTGATCGAAAGAAGATAAAATAAGTCCTTGTTGGAGACGTTCACTATTGTTCCATATTTCATAAATACGCCGAGCACCAACATGGAATTTTTCAGCCATTATTTTTGATGCATTGGGTATCCTGTCTCTGGATTCTCTAATTTCCTTGATGTCGGCTTCTGATAATGGGGTGGCATTGGATCGATAAAATTTTTCATGGAGATGGGTGACCATTTTTTAATTAGAATATATATATGCAAAAAAACTACCAATAATTTTTTCAATATCTTTCAATATGTATCAATATTTCTGGTGATCAATACATATCAATGCCTTTCAATATGAATCAATTCCTTTCAATACGAATCAGTGCTTTTCAATACATATCGGTATCCTTCAATGCATATCAGTATTATCTTTCAGTGCGCATCAATAAGTATGAATGTGTCTCAATGCCCTTCAGTACGCACCAGTAATCTTTTTTTTTCAATGAGTATCAATAAGCATTAGTTTTGCCAAAAATAATCCACTTTCTTACAAGTTTAAGGCCCTAGCTGATTTTTTTTGCCTAAAAAAAAAAATACCAATAAAATGCCCCAGATCCGTACTTTAAAAGATCTGGATAATGGTAATAAACTTGGGGATACTCCAGCTAATTATTATCCACCCAGTCGAACAGATCTTGAAGAGCAACTTTCTTGTGCAAAAAAAGATCTTGAAGTAGCTATTTATTGGGTAAGTCTGTTTGCGGATAACTATGATGTCTTAGATAGAGAAAACAAGCGCATGCAGGATGACTTGGATAAATCCAAAAATGAAAATGAAAAACTTTCTGATCGGGTGCACCAACTTGGAGAAGAGATAAGACAATTGCATTTAGATAAAAATGAGCTTATGCTTCAGATTACTCGCAAGGATATTTCTCTTGCAGATGCTGAAAGCAAATTCTCTATAAAATCGGAAGAGATGCAAGCCTTCCAATCCATAACAAAGGAAGAAATACAGGCTCTCCAATCAAGAGTAAAAGAATTAGAGCAGGATGCTTCTTTAGCACAATATGAGATATCAGAAATAGTTTCTCTCAAACGCAAATTGGAACTGAAAAATGTGGAACTAACTACTGAAAATATTGGTCTAAGTTTGGCAAAAGATGACTTAGAAGACTTATTGACCGAAAAAAAAGTGGCACAGATAAAAGATGATTTAGTCATAGCGCAAAAAGCATTAATAGAAAAAGACTCCCTTCTTCAAGAAGCTAATGATCGTTTAGCCGAGCAGATCTCCCAAACATCCAGCGAGTGTGAAGTGCTTGGAGGTGATAAAGGACTGGAGAAAGGTATCGAAATCACTAGTCCTAAAACAACCTCAGATTCACCTTATTACTTATTTTTTCAGTATGCAATCATCTTCTTAATAGTATTACTAATCATATGCATTTTATGGTGTGTATTCTCTCGTAGAAATTCTTCTTACAATGAAGAAAAAAATATTTCGAACTATAAAATACCCTTAAATAGAAATCAGAGTTATGGATTCCTAATCCGATACACAGAAAAACCAAAAGACAGGACTACCTCTTATGAAACTTTACCTTATGGATATGGATGAGGCCACAAAGCACGAATCATCCCGAATTCAATCTCATCCTGCAAGTCCATCATGGCCTTTCAGAATGCCAGTCATTGGAATGAGTGGATCAGGTAAGACTAATATCTTGGGAAATCTTTTTCTTGGTACTAAAGCTGAATGCATATGTAAAGATAAGAAAGGACCAAAAGGCACTTCGTATGGCTCTAGATATATTGCATGTGATGATTTGATAGTTTGCGGTTATCATCCTGATGAGCCAAAGTGGGCATTTGTAAGATATATGTATGGCATAATTTCAAAAGATCCAAAAGCGCCTTACTATGAGAATATACGATTTAGCTATATATCGCCAGAAAAAATTCCTAGTGTTAGAGCATTTTCACCAGAACGAAGCACAGTGATTGTTTTTGAGGATATATCATGTATGTCTAGCCCCAGAATATATACAAAATCAAATCGGCAAATTTTTTGGGAATGGGCGATATCAGAATATTTCATGTGTATATGTAGTGCAAAAATACCACAAAATCCCTATATTTATTCGTGAAAACAGTTTACACTTAGTACTTTTTAACTCAGGTAGCTCACATGAAGATATTTCCAAGATTATTAGACGCTATACTGATGATGTAAAAAATGCATCTATGGTTATTAATAGTTACCTTCGAAAAGGTGAGTTTGTCGTATTTGATCTCACTAGGCCAGAAGATGATCCCCTTGCAATCCGCCTAAGGTTTGACACTCCCCTAAACCTGCAGAAGGAAATAGAGGCTAGGCATAAGCGCAAGGAAAAAAATGTTCAAGCTAATAGGTAGAATCTGACCTAATAGATATCAGCTTTTTTTCGTAATTATAAAAATTGGAATGGAAGAACGCCAAGCCGAAAGACCGGTTATTTATATCGATCCTCAAAAAGCTCAAAACTTAGATTAGGATCTCACTTTGTAAGAGATATATTATAGACCTGAAGGTTACTATCAGACTGCTGAAAAAATGCTGGATGCTTGCAAGAAAGCCGGGTATAAGTTCACTCTATCTATGATAAAAAAATGGCTTAACAAACAGGCTTTGTATCAGATTCATAAGCCTCGGCCTAAGTATATTCCACAAGCATCTTTTAATAATATTACCGTACCTATGGAAGTTATTCAAGCTGATTTATGCTATATGCCTTATGATCGAATTGGTAATAAAACTTATAAATTTGCACTTAATTGTGTAGATATTGCTACCCGCACTAAATGGACCTATCCTTTAACTAGACGTGATTCTGCTAGTGTGGCTAAAGGATTTGTGAAACTTTTTAACTCCCGAATATGCCCAATTATCTGGTCTAAAGTTAAAGTTTTAATGGTAGATGGGGGCGTAGAATTCCAAGGTAATGTTATCATACTAATGAACGAACATGATATCCAAATTCAACTAGCTAATTCTAAAGAATCTATGGGTATTGTTGAGAGATTTAATCGTACACTTCAAGAATGGGCATTCTTTATTCAAGATAGTGTTGAAATGAGATTACCTCCTACTAAGCGCTGTCGAGCTTGGGTAAAAAACCTTCCAATTTTTCTTGTAGAACTTGACAATTCTGTAACTCGACTTCTGGGTATTTCTCCTGCTGAAGCTCGAAAAAAAAAACATGTCTTTGCTAAAGCTTCCAAGCCACGAGAAGGACCTATTGGGTTTGATGAGCCTAGATTATCCCATGATGTCTTAGTAAGATATTTGCTTAATCCTGGTGAATTAGAAGGTGGGAGACGACGTGCAACTGATTGTAATTAGTCTCCCCAAATTTATCATATTCGTGAATCTCTAGTGCAAAAAAATCAGCCGGTCTTGTACTGGCTAATAGATGATGAGGGCAATAGCCCGAAAAGATCCTTTGTAAGAGAGAAACTTCAAATCATAAAGGATGTATAATTACCACCTCGATGGGTGCTTGCGAATTAGATTTCTAAGTCATGAAGTTTAAGCATTTCATTTACTTCTTCTATAGATCTTTTTTGCACAACCTCTTCTTGGTTCGCTAATAAAAGATATAATTTGTATAACTTTTCAAGACTCTGATACACTTCTTCATTATACCAGTCTTTGAAATCCGCCATTCTTTTATTATAAACTTCCTCATTTGGAGCTCGCTGCTTTGCTACGTATTTGCAATGATCATCTGGATCTTTTTTACGTTGCATTATTTTCAAATAGCCCACATATGACAATCCCATTTTATCATATTTTTTCGTGCCTTGGCTATATGCTACTTTGATTATCTCAACTAATGCCAATTCGATATCTTTATAGTTAACCATTTTGAATGTTTGTATTAATATAGCAAAAACTTTTGTTTAAAATAAAATATTTATTTCTTATTACCATGATAGGCGAATATTATTGCAATTATTTACTTATGACTGGATACGTCTGTGGGCGGACTTGTCGTCAGCCTGAAGGGTGTTTTGAGTATTGGAAAGCTAAACTCCGCATCTCCTGTAAGGTTTGTGACAAGCTAACTAGCTCTGAACCCGGCCTTTGTAGAAAGCATTCTGGTACCTATTATGTAACCCAATATTTTAATAGGCTTCAGGATAAAGCTAATGCCGATGATTTAATTTGGATGAAAATTGATGAATTGCTTCTAGAGCTGTCAGCGGACAAAACTGAAGAAGCAGGAGAGCAGGGTTAGTGACGGGTTAGTGTTGGAGATCCTGGAAGTCAATATATACATGTATATGCATTTATATCATATTATTTTGTCTAAAGGTAATCCTATTTGCCTCATATAATAGCATACATTAAATAAGGTAGCATACTTATTCTCCTATATCGAACACGCATTTATATCTGACTTTTTTACACCCATAGTAATACTTCCTATCCATACCCATTTTTTTTACACTCATAGTAATACTCTCTATCTATATCCGAATTTTTTTTTCATACCATAGGTGTAAATTTTTATTATGTCAGAATTATAATCAGAAAGGCGCGCAAAGGTAAGAAAACAAATTTATGATTTAGATAAGTAAGAAGGGCTGGAGTACATTATTTGTCAACTATCATTCTTGAAGTTCTCAGGCGAAAATAACTTGGTCTACACATACTTACTACTAGGTGTACATTTTTATTATATCAAGATTATAATCAGGAAGGTAAAGGCAAGAAAACAAATTAGTAATTTTATTAAGAAAGAGGGAACTAGAAAACATTCTAAGAATACGAATTTATTGATATACTAGAACTATATTTTGAGAGCCCTAGAATGGTGAAATTAATAGGTATTCATTTTTAGCAGCAGATGGATTCTGAAATACGAATTTTAATAACTTTCTTTCCTGGGGTCCCAGATTAAGATTACTTAGTCTGCCCGCGCCCTCTGCTGCTTCTCGGTTTATAACGTATGTGATTATTTGCGAACAGCATGGTATTCCAGTTTATAACGTATGTTTTATACTGGTAGTTATTTGCGAACAGTATTATGTTTCAGTGTACAACGTATGTTTTATACTGGTGGTTATTTGCTAACAGCATAATATATGTATATTTTATCATATTTGCAAGTATTATTACTACAGTATTTTTATATATAATATAAATTTATATATTTATATATTTAACATGAAAATTTGTCCTTATAATTATTAAATTTT